TGAAAATGAATTGTGCCAAATTCATAGCTATTTTGAAATGTGTGGGGTTCGTGGATACAGTTTTGGCATGCCTGATTCTAGGGATTTAAAAAAAAAAAAGCTCAGTCTCCAAGTGGGTTCTCTAGTAAGGGGAGCAGGGGCTGTCTCTGACATGGACTCAGTGCCCTGCTCTTTGATCACCTCTCCCTTGTGAGGTGGGCTAACTAGGGCACAAAGAAAGAGGTTCCAGACAGTAGTGATGAAAGCTGATAGGTTAGGATCAGATAGTACGGGGGGAGGGGAGGAAATCCCATATCAGTGAACTAGGGAAGAGGGACAGGGGAGGAAGAGGGAAAGAGGGTGGATTCCCGAGGAGATAAGAGAGGGTAATACAACGTGAATAAATTGTAATAAATAATAATAATAATAATAGTAATAATATAATTTAAAGTATCCTGCAATATTTTCTTTGTATTTAGATTTGATAAAAAATTATGAGTACAATAGTCTTTCCTTATCTATAAGTGATATATTTTCAGGCTCTAAGTGGATGCTTGAAATGTTGGATAACACTGAATCCTATATGGATATTATGCTTTATTATAACTATCATTAATAAAGTTTAATTTCTAAATTAAAAAGAATAGCAATAGTAATTATAATAATGATGCAAACAATTAAAAAAAACAATGCATGTCTCTCTGCTTCTAGGATACCTTACTCAGGATGATCTTTCCTAGTTATATCCATTTGCCTGCATATTTCATGATTTGTTTGTTTTTAATAGCTGGGTAGTATTCCATTGTATAAATGTACCACAATTTCTGTATCTATTATTCAGCTGAGGAACATCTACTGCAGATACTGGCTATTACGAATAAAGCTGCTGTGAACATAGTTGAGCAAATGTCCTTGTTGTATTGGTTGAAAATCTTTCACCTATATGTCCAGGAGTGGTATAGCTGGGTCTTTAGCATCATCTTCCAGTTTTCTAAGAAAGTGCCAGATTGATTTCCAAAGTTCTTGTTCAAGTTTACATTCCCACCAGCAAAGGAGAAGGATTCCCCTTTCTCCACAACCTCTCTAGCATGTGTTGTCCCTTGAGTTTTTGATCTTAGACATTCTGATGGTTGTGAGATGGAATGTCAAAGTCCTTTTGATTTTTAAGGACTTTGAGCATTTCTTTAAGTGTTTCTATGCCATTGGATAGTCCTCTGTTGAGAATTCTCTGTTTAGATCTGTAACCCATTTTTAATTGGATTATTTCATTTGCTGGTATTTAATTTCTTGAATTGTTTATATATTCTGGATCTGAGACAGTTTTAATTTATTATCCATTGTACTTTCCTGCTTTTCTTTTTTTTCCATTTTTTTAAAATTTTTTATTTAACTTTTATTAATTACACTTTATTCACTTTGTATCCCCTCCATAAGTCCCTCTCTCCTCCCCTCCCGATCCCACCCTCCCTCCCCTTTCTGCATTCATGCCCCTCCCCAAGTCCACTGATAGGGGAGGTCCTCCTCTCCTTTCTGATCTTAGTCTATCAGTTCTCATCAGAAGTGCCTGCTTTTCTTTTATGATTACTAGTTTTAGACAAGATGGCAAAATTAGTGGATTTTACATTGGTAGTATTGGGTACTTTTCTATTCTTTATAAATATATTGACTTTTGGTCTAAGCATCAGTTAAATTCAGAGAAGCAGAGATAGTTCTGCATCTTCATTTCTAACATTTTCTTTTTTATATAATTTTTATTTTTTATATTAATCACAGGTCATTTACTTTGTATCCCAGCTGTAGCCCCCTCCCTCATTACCTCCCAATGCCACCCTCCCTCCCTCATCTTCTTCCTGTCCCTTTCCAAGTCCACTGATAGGGGAGGTCCTCCTCCCCTTCCATCTGATCCTAGCTTATCAGGTATTTTCAGGACACTGGCTGCAATGTCCTCCTCTCTTCCATATCTTATATTCTGTTGGTTATTCTTACCTTTGTGGTTCGTGATCTTTTCTCTTAGTTCTCCAACTCCAGGCTTTTCTGTTTGTGTTTTCTTTATTGATTCTAATTCTATTTTTATGCCTTTCACCATTTCCTTCATCTGTTTGAATAACTATTCCTGTCTTGTTCATTTCCTCTTTATTTGCTTCCATCTGTGTGGCAATTTCTTTGAGGGATTTGTTTGTTTCCTCTTTATGTGTTCCTAATAACTGGTTAAGCATATCTTTAAAGTCATTTTCCTGTGTTTTTGGGGGGTTGCTGGTGAAGCCATGATTTCCTGATTTTTGTTGAATGTGCTTTTTCACCGACCTCTGTCATTTCCTTATCTGAAACCTTTACTGTTTGTTCCTGGGTACTGCAGTTAAGACTGGTATCGCCTTTCTCTGGTGTCTGGAGAATTCTTCAGGAAGATGAGAAAGGTCCAATGGTTTCTTTTCTCAGAAATTATGCATTTGGCCATATTTTGGGGTTCTGTTGCTCTCTTGGCGGAACACCTGTCCCTTCCAAGTCTTTCTGTTTCCCCCTTCTTTAATAAGATTCTCTGAACTCTGCCCAAAGTTTGGGTCTTTTCTCACATCTACTTTAATACCCTCCTGGGTAGAGTCGTTCATAGGTTCTCTGTTAGGCTCCTGTCATTTTCCCTGTTTTCTCCCACTTCCAATGTCCACCCCATTTCTAAATGAACAGTGTTCATCTTATCCAGGGTCCTCCTTCTTGCTTAGCTTCTTTTGGTGTACAGATTTTAGTATGATTATCCTATATTATATGTCTAATATCCACTTATAATTGAGTATGTACCATATGTGTCTTTTTGCTTCTGGGATAGCTCATTCATGATGATCTTTTCTAGTTTCCACCATTTGCCAGTGAATTTCATGATTTCCTTGTTTTTAAATGCTGAGTAGTATTCCATTGTGTAAATATACCAAAATTTCTGTATTCATTCCTGTGTTGAGGGACATCTGGGTTGTTTCCAGACTCTGGTTATTAGGAATAAAGCTGCTACAAACATGGTTGAGCAAATGTCCTTATTGTGTACTTGAGCTTCTTTTGGGTATATGCATAGGAGTGGTGTGGCTGGATCCTGAGGAAGCGCTATTCATAATTGTCTGAGGAAGTGCCAGATTGATTTCCAAAGTGGTTGTACAAGTTTACATTCCCACCAGCAATGGAGGAGGGTTCCCCTTTCTCCACAACCTCTCCAGCATGTGTTCTCACTTGAGTTTTTGATTGTATTTTTAACAGATTATATTTTCTCTTTTTCTTTTAATTTTAAAAATAGGGCCAAACTTAGTGCTGGTCTCAAACTTATGATATAGCCAAGGCTGACTTCTAACCTGTTGCAGTCCTCCTTCTGGCTCAGGGTACTATGTTGTGAGAATACATGGACATTATTTTTTTATCTGTTGTTATTACTTATCATCCTTAGTTTAAGAGTTTTTTTTAGTAATGATAGATTGCACAAATGATTTCACTGTATATTATAAATTGTTGTTGACAGTAGTTTACTTGTTCAAATAAAAGTAGTAAGGATAGTTTACTCAAATATCACCTACAGGATTTGGTATATTTAAACTTGTAATATGTTACTATAAAGTTTTGTTCTCTCACAGTTTTAATTATAACAATATCAACTATTCTTAGTTAATAGAATGATGCCTGGACCATTAACATAGCAGAAGTTGCTGACATTGAATTTATATTTTGCTATCCTCAGTATGTAAAGCAAAAAGCCCCTACTTACTGAGTATATCAACTAAATACACAACAACCTCTCCTTTGTGTTTATTTTTGCTTTTATTTTGTATTGTTATTTTTTATATTAATTATAGTTTATTCACTTTGTATCCCAACAGTAGCCCCCTCCCTCCCTCCTTCCCTTCCAAACTCACACTCAATCCCCTCATCTCCCATGTCCCTCTCCAAGTCCACTGATAGAGGAGGTTCTCCTCCCTTTCCATCTGACCCTAGCCTATCAGGTCCCATCAGGACTGGCTATATTGTCTTCTTCTGTGGCCTGGTACTAGAATCTATACACCTAAAGAAGCTAAGGAAGAAGGACTCTGGGTAAGATGATCAATCCTCACTCAGAAAGCCAAACAGGATGGACATCGGAAGAAGGAGAAAACAGGGAACAGGACAGGAGCCTACTACCTAGAACCTCTGAAATACTCTACCAAACAGTTTATCAAAGCAGATGCTGAGGCTCATAGCCAAACTTTGGGGAGAGGGTAGGGAATCTTATGAAATAAGGGGGAGATAGAAAGACCTGGAGGGGGCAGGAGTTCCACAAGAAGAACAACAGAACCAAAAACTCTGGGCACAGAATTTTCTGAGACTGATACTCCAACAAAAGACCATGTGTGGAGATAACCTAGAACCCTTGCTCAGATGTAGCCCATGGCAGCTCAGTATTCAAGTGATGGAAACAGGGAATGTCTCTGACATGAGCTCAGTGGCTGGCTCTTGGATCACCTCCTCCTGAGGGGGTATAGCCTTACTAGGCCCCTTTGTGTTTTATCTGTATATAAAAATCATTACTTCTTGTGATCTAGCTTTCTAGCAAAGTTCTGTAGCACTTTTCTTTTCTTGCCCGTTTAAAACACTCTGGGGAGACCCCTGATATGTTGAGTATCTTTTCCCTCTTTCATTTGTAACCAAATCCTAGTTCTAGAAATTTGGTACATACACATTTACAGAAATAAAAAACCTGCTATATAATGAAAAATATGTTTCACAATTATATTTTTTAGATTTTTTTTTGAAAATTTCATACATGAGCAGTGCATATATACTACTCTTGCTCCTCCCTTTTTTCCTTTTATCATCTGGCTCTCAAATATGTGACTTTAAAAAGATTTTGTTTATATGTGTTTAAACAAAATACACACACAGTTAACTGTACAGAGTACAGATACTGTTTTTGTGTGTGTTAGTAAAGCAAAATGTTATAAAAGTATTGATGCATTCATATTTTGAGGAAATGTGAATTATATATGTTCATATAAATTTCTGTATCTGTTTAGGATTTGCTGTCTCATATGCTTCATATGGACCCACATCAGCGTTATACTGCTGAACAAGTGTTAAAACACCCTTGGATAGCCCAAAGAGACCAACTGCCATGTGATGAGCCAAAGACAGATGATGCATCCCAGGTTGTTATAGTAAAACACACACACTTAATGTGTAGGGAATCTCATGTTACCCACTGATGATGAATAAATAAATATATAAAATAGCTTTACTTCTTAAAGACAGTTTTAAAAATGTTTTTTAACATTCATAAACTCTTAATGTTTTTTTTTTTACTATGTCTTTTCTGATAAGATAAAATTATCGTTAAGCTTATATGAATTTCTCAAAATAATGGCTTTTATGGTGACATTTTCTTACATGCATATTATGTATTTTGATATCTCCTATTCCCACCTCCTTTATCTTGCTCTACATTAGTTATAGTAATAGTATCTTTGTCTTTTTCAAACATAGATATGCCCTATATGAGAGAAAGTGTGTAATATTTCTTTTTTAAATGCTAGGTTATTTTGTTTAACATGATTATTTTCAGCTCTATCCATTTTCTTGTGACTGACATAATTTTGCCTTTTTTATGACAAAATGAGAATTCTAGTGTGTAAATATTCTAAACTGTTTCTATAACCATATCTCTATTTGTCTGTCTGTCTATCTATCTAGGCAACATAACTGTTTCTATAACTTGGGTTCTTACTATGAGAGCTTTTGTAAAAGGGCACATTTCATAGGTAGAGGTCTTGTGGTATATTATGAAACAATTAATAGCTGCAGTGATTGTTACTGAACTTATAATGTTTTCTGATTATTTTAGGGAGCAGTGGTTGCAACATATTCTGCCTTGACTCAGAGGACTTTCCAACCGGTTTTAGAGCCTGTTGCTGCTTCAAGATTAGCTCAGAGGCGTAGCATGAAAAAGCGAACATCAACTGGCTTGTAAGGTTCATAGTATTCCTCAGCTAACTGAGTGAAAGAAAATTAAATGTGTGTTATGGGCTGGATTTGTTTTGTTTGCCTAATCTTTTATTAAAGGTATTTTTTCCTGCCACATTACTTGAATATTCTGTTTAAGCCTCTCTTTTTGGGAGGGTGGAATTTTAAATGAACATACATAGGTCCGTAAAATTCATACTATGTCATTTTGCAGTAGTGTTTGACTGTTTAACTCTATAATTGATGGTCCACCAGGTCTTAACTTCTTTGCACATTAACTTCTCAAATTCCTTTTGAACAAAGTTAACCTATTATTTTTTTATTATTTTACACAAAAATCATTTAGGGATTCACTAATATTAATCAAGATGATTTTCATATGCTATAATCATAAACAATATCAGTATTTTTAACATAATTCCCTGAAGAATAACTTTTGTTCTTAAAAGAAAAACATAAGTATTCTAGTAGCTTGTGTGTAGCCAAACCACTCCACTCATTTGAGTCTGTTTAAATACTAAATATAGTGAGAATAGTTTGGTGCCAGAGCAAAATCCATTTGTGCTAATACATGAATTCCTGATATGATTGGTGCCAAAGTTTTGATTGAGTAATTAAATCACTAATAATATGTGCACACAGATTTGTATATTATCCATAAGTGTCTTCGTCTAGAGAAAGTTTCCATAAGGCTTCTAATGTTTTACAGCTAGTGGAATTGTAGTAAAAGTGAAGATGTTTTTATCCAAAGGATTCATATTGGTATTGTAATCTCCTAATTATGTCATAGTTAAGGCTTTGAATATGAAGTACATGGTGTTGATGTGATCTTGGTGTTACATAAGGTGACTTTGAAGTTAACCAATTGAATTTAATCATCAGTTTTCCCCTTTATAAGTGGAGCTACACTATCGTATTTCTGATTTCTGTGTGATTTGAGCTACAGTGTAGCATATCAATCTACTTTGAACCCTATGGTGATCTAGTTGAAGTTTTATTATAGTGGACTTGTACACTAAGCACATATGATACTGTATAATGTATTTCAGTAAGCATTAGACAATTCTACATAATTCTACATAATAGTTGTCCTTCAAGAAGATAATCTCATATTTTAAATAGGAAGCAATGTTGACACAGAAATTTGAGCTCATAAAAAGTATATTTACAATAAACTGGCCAAATTGGTTTTATTAAATTTATGATTTAGAACTAGTGTGTAATGTGTATTTTTTCTTTAAATGCTGAAATTAAAAAAAAAAAAACCATTTTATGTTGTTGAGGAAAATACTATTAACTGCTACTACTGACAGAAATAATTCATGAATGTAAACTGGAGGATATCAGTTGTGTTTAGTGAATAGAAATGTATTGCTTATGTGTGCTAGGTGTACTGTTTGCTGTGCATTTTACTTTGCTTAGTTCAGAGAGAACTGATTACTGAGTATATGATTTAGGGTTGAAGACATGTAATATTGGTACCTAATAAAACAAACCATATGTATTCTCTTTAAAATGTAAGTGGTCTTTATCCATGCACAAATACCTGATTCCTACACGTGATATATAAAAGTATGTATTACTTTGAGGTGTCTTTTTTAAAAACAATTGAACAATTGTTTTAAATAACACCTGATCTGATGCCACAATATAGCATTGCTCAGTCTTGGTGTCATGTTTTGTGACTTTTGTGTTCCAATTTGCTTCCTTTTTTTCCCTTTTCTTTTTCTTTATTGCAATAAGTCCTTGCATTTAAAAATCTTGTGTCCAAATATTTTGAGTTACTGTGTTTCTGTCATCATCTTCTTTGTGTTGTTATATACTTTTATCTGTTGATTTGTCAAACTCAAAGATGTAGTTTTGCTGATGAATTTTTAGGACACATAACTGTTTCCATATGTGCTTTCCAGCTAATAAAATTAGAGAAAATAAACCTGGAAAATGAAAAATGATCATTAAATACCTTTCAGCCTTTGTATAAACAATGGGTTAATAGGTTATCATAATTTTCAGTTAGCTTGCTCAAAGGATTGTGTAGTACAGCCTGATATGAAAGGAACACTGAGGATTAAGCAATGAATGCTTAATGAACACTTTCACATCCCCCCAGTAAGTATTGACTAGCACACAGGTATGCTAGTACATTTGCCTAATTGTGAGAAAGTTACTGCTGAAAATGTTGAATGTGCTAGCCTAACAAAAGTAGTGGATAAACAGTATTACATAAAAGAAAGTAATGACTATGCCCTTGCTTTGTAGAAATGAGATATCTAAGCATGTCCTTTTTGGCTAGAATAAATCTGATTGGAAGGAGTTAAGGTTCAAAAATTTCTCAAAAAAAAATAGGCTTCCCTGAATGAATGACCAGTTAAAACAACCTTTCTGTAAGAGTTTAGCATACTATAGTTCCTAATGGAGTCATGATCAGTTAGTTTGTATTCTTTGGTAATATTTAACAGCAGCACATTGTGAAGTAAAACTTTGAGGTGATTGACTGTTCTGGAAAGGAGAGATATAGATCTTATTTTTCTCAAAGAGAGAACATAAGGTTTGCTAAGGTAGACTAAATTCATTTTCTGAAATTGTATGTTAACATGAATGAATATTTAGGAAACCATTTGCAAGAATATTAGAATGCAGTGCTGGTAGCTGATTTTCTGGTATCAAACTTTTAACTTATTTTGATAGGAATGCCTAAGTATTATTTTTTATTAATATTCGTTTTTGTTTTCTGACTTCTTGGTATTGGTGATTAAACACAGCAGGACCTTTTAAATAGCATCTCTGTGTAGCATGGCGGGATTGCATTTGTTTTGCAACCCACAAAGTTAACAACAGATTATTGTTTCCCCACTGAAACATGTTAAAATAATACTGCCTATAGAAACTCATATCACTTGAGTAGTAGGTTCCTAACTAGAAGACACCCTTCATATATTAAAAAGAAGAAGAAGAAGAAGAAAAAAAGAAAACAAAGAAACAAACACCATAAGGCATACTAACTGTACATTAGGCAGTTTGTCACTCTTCATCTGGTTGTTTAAACCCCTTATGCTATCCTACTTGATCATCTCACAACAGTTCTTCATTCTTAAAATTTACCAAATCCTCAGAAGGATTAGGTGCTCCCAGAGGACCTCACTCCTTCTTTTTGTTTTCCAAATAAAGACTTTCATTTTCAGAACAGCAGAGTTCAGCTAACAAAATGACAAGAAAGCTATAGGAGTAAATTAATGCACTTTTTCCTATTAGTGGCTAGTAGAGAATTAGCATTTCCCAATGAAGTTAGTAAGCAAATGTGTTTCTAGTTGCAGGAGTTGGAAGCAATCTAATCATTAAATGAGAATGATTTTAAATTCAGTAATTGTTGAAGTTTGTGGGTTAAGGAACATACTCAGAAGTTCCCAGAGTCAAGCCATTGAATAAAATGTTTCCTAATTATGGAGTTCCTTTCTTTCCATGCATTCTATATTTTGTCTTTAAAAAAAATCACAGCTTTTCATATAATGAACTTCTTTATAACTAAGTGGTATGGGGGTAGAAAGGTATTGGTGTTCATTTCTTTACATGTTGTTAAACATTTGAATGTATTTTCATTTTTCACAATATGCAGTTAATTACATAAGCACTTTCATTCAACTCACTCTTGTATTCATGGAGGAAAAAAAGCACAAAAATTCAAATGAAAACTATACCTGGATCCCATTTCTAGACTCTGTCTATATTTTAGGTCCCAGATTTTCACTTTATTACAGTATTTTGCAACAATAATGCAAGCCAGAGTAAATCCAGATTGACCAATTATGATTAAATTTATTTTTTTTCTTTTGATGCTTATTAAAGAATTTTTAGTGTTTATCTTGAGATCAGTGATTACTGAGATGATTTGAATGATTAAGTACTGTGTTATCTGCAGGAATGTAATCCCATCAGTAATGTTTATTCACATTTATTATGTTCGTAGAGTCATTGTTCCTGCTTTTAGTCTTACTATCTAATGGAGTCTGTTCTGTAATTTGTGCAAAATAATATTGCTTGATCATCTGAAATTCAATTTGATTGATAATATGTAGACGATCTCTACTTGGATACTCAGTAAATCCTAGATTACAAGTATATGTTTCTTTGAAATGTGAAGAAAATTACAAAAGAAAAGAACCTGTAGAACAAAGAAATTCAAAATTGTTTATATTACACTAGAAAATATATACATTTCAGTTATTGATTACAAAAAATGAGTTAAGTGTCTAGAAGTGTATGTCTATGTACATATACCAAGAAAAGTTTTGTTCTGTATTCCTGTGTCTAAACCATGAACAACACTTCCTGAAAATGTTTTGCTTTTACTTTATCTAGTTATAACTGTTATTCTTGAAAAATAGTTTTAAACATCCAGTTTTATGTGGAACAGTTCTAGAGACTATATTAATATGTACTTCATTTATTAATAATTGACATTACTTGAACAATTTGCTGCCTTTTTCTTTTTATCAACTAATATTGCTCAGATTACATTTTATTTCTTATTTAAAATTTTTTGTCTCTAAAACTGATACTACCTATAGCAAAAGTGTAAGCTTTTCTTAGTACAGTAATATTATTTTTACTACCAGGAAAGTAACTGGAGAAACTGAGTTATACATAAACTTTTAATTAAATATCCAAGTCCCAGTTTGTTTTTTGAATGGGAATTTGTCTTACATTGTATTCCATAATATAAATAGAAAAAATATGTTTTAAGACAGAAGTCGTGTGTTGGCCATGACTTATTCAAAGAGAGCTTAGTTTGCTACTGCCATATCTTTTAAAATTCATTTTTTTGACATTTTCTAAACACTTGGAATTCCTGTACCTCTTGTTCCAATGTAGTTGTTTATAGTCACTACATGGTGTTAAATAGTAACTGTATATAGATTTACTTCACAGGTACTTAAAAATCTAAAAGCTGAAATTGAACAAAAAAGGTCCCCAGGTTGCTATAAACTGTAATTTTTGCTAACTATTATAAGGTTTATACCATCATTTATTTTGTAAATATTTTCTTTAAACTGCTGTTCCTTTGGACTTGACATTATCATTCATTGTACTACATTTTTCATCATGTTAGATCAGATTTAGTAATGCATTCTACAGTGTTCTTTTACTTCACCGTGCTGCTACAGAAATGGCTATCCTTTTGAATTTACACCATGCCAAAGATGACATAAAGTTATATTTATTTTTGTTGTTAAAACTGTGAGCAACAATTATCAAGAGATTATGTTAAATTACTGGCATTCTCTGGGTACTAAATAAAAAGGCTGTAACTGTCTAACATTTTATACTTGGCCTTGTTT